ACACACACACACACCCACACACACACACACCCACACACACACACACCCACACACACACACACCCACACACACACACACCCACACACACACACACCCACACACACACACACCCACACACACACACACCCACACACACACACACCCACACACACACACACCCACACACACACACACCCACACACACACACACCCACACACACACACACACATGCAGCCTTTCCCCTCTTGTTACTCTTGCACACGTTTTTCACCTCATTCTCCCTTTTCTCTGTCTCTTTCTCACATCATTATATTCCCAACTCTCCATAGGTACTATACCTGCTAATTACCCACAATGCCACAGTCATTATTTTCCCATCTCTGCTGCTAATTTGCTCCATACTCCCCCCCCCACCTCCAGCAGACCCATCAGCTCCCAGACAGCTTCTAGCTAGCTTCAGCTCTCTGTCTGCCTTAAATGTGAGTAAAGAAAGAAACAAAGATGGAAAGGGAAGGGAAAAAAGGAAAAGAGATGGCAAAGGAGTGCACGTCCCAGACATTGATTAGAATGCAATTGCAAACAGGTGTTGTTGAGGTCCACTTTTTAATTGTGTGCACAGAAACATGTATGCGATCACGTGCACACAAACTAACTGACTCTAATAACCTCTTTGGTAATTCCAAATATGTAATTATGTACATTTAATATTTAATCATTAGACCAAATGAAAACAATCTTGTTCCGTGCTGATCAGTACATATTACAGAGTGTAATGACTAGGGCTGCAGGTGGGTTTACCCAGTGTGTGGCCTGAGAGCAGGAGGGGGCTGAGAGATGGAGAGAGATTGGTCAGCCAGAGTTTGTGTGAGTGAGTGAGAATGAGTGAAAGAGCTCCTGTGTAATTTCAGTAATTTGTTTCTACTGTTTTCTTTGCAAGAAGGAACAGTGGGATAATATGGTTGTGTGGTATCTTTGTATTATTTTTGAATCTACTTCAGCTCTCACTCTAACACCATTAAGTACTTATTGGCATTTTTGCAAGATTGGAACCAGTACTGCCCAGGCAAAAGATTCTAAACCCAATGAAGTTGTTTAGGCATTCTGTGACACTGTCCTGACACTTCTGGCTCCCACTGAAAGGTTTCTGAATGTAAAAAGTATAAAGGCTCTTATCCACTAGATTTCTTTCGGTCCACACTGCTCACCATCGCCCTAGCAGAAATTGTGCTTTGGATGACTTTGGAGAAGGAGCAGAAGGGAGAAGCAGGGAGGTCCAAAATGGTTGTTTGTCAACGTGCGTTGATGTTGTTAGATTCATTGTTTCCTGTGTTGGTCAGACACTGGGTTTGTGTTGGCACTGGGACTGTTATTGTGGCTGCAGCACACTCCTCTGCAATGCTCTGCTCTCCCTGCTTCTCATTACAGTGAATAAACACAGGGCAAGTATTGGATCAAATAACTTTTGAGGAAGCAGGGGTGCGTGTGAGTTTGCATTTGTGTGCGTGCAGCAGTGTGTGTGTTTGTATGCATGGGTGCATGCACTAATGTGTGGCTTTGGTAAGGATTGTGAGTTGTTATTGTGTAAGTAAAGGAAGAAGCTAAACTGAACAAATTCTTACAACTTAAGTTACAATTGCAAGGCAAACAGAGCTACTTATGAAATGGAAGTGGCGTGGCTAGTCATTCACAGTGTTGTGTAGGAGGCTGTCTAACAGGTTTTATGGTGATGTAAACTATAGCACTTAATCAGCATTCTGTTGATTGGGTAGCAGGAACTTGCCTAAAACCACATTTTGCTTTAACTCATTACAGCCTTTGGAGTATAGACTCAATGTATATATACAAAAACATGCTGTATATATATATACGGCGATCAGGCATAACATTATGACCACCTGTACATCTGTATGCACTTCAGTGCAACATTTCTGCCTTAACATTTGTGTTTATGAAGCTTAAAATGTTTCAGCTTTTGGTGAGATTGTCATAAATGGATAAATTCAATTATATGTTCATTATTGGGGTCATAGTTAAAGGTGGTGTTGTACTGGACTACATTGTATTCAGAGGTGTTCCTAATAGTCTGACCTTCTCATGTATGTGGCTGGGGAGGACAAAAACATGGAGACACCTCTAAATATAATGTACCGTAGTCCGGTACAACACCACTTTTAACTCTTACTGTAACCTACTGTCTCTTCCTGTTAGATCCATATAAATACACTGCATGGCTCTGTCTGTCTCTCTCTGTGTAAATATTATCTGTCTCTCTAGTTACTGTACCTGTCCACCTATCAATCTACATGTTTTCTGTACCTCCCACCACCATTTTTATTTGTTTTTAGTTCTTTTTGATAATAGTGAGCTGTCCACATTTGAGTGAATGTCTGGTTTTGAGACTGTCTAGAGGACATTTGTATTTCATCTTTTCTGTGGGGACAGTATAGATCACTATATATTCACAGACAAAGAGTACACACCCTGAAATGTCCCTTGACAGTCGTGGCTGAAGGATGTTGGCAACAGGTGTGCAACTGGGATGCCGTCTTGACAGTCATGGCAGATGCACACATAACATAACACACACAGTGACAAAAACACACAGACAGTATGGGGAAACTGTGGAAAATAAATAAATAAACTAAGATTCTGTATGAGAGCTGGTGACAGGAAGCTGGTCTCACAGGGCAGTGTGCTCCACTGCAGCTAATTAACCCCAGGAAATAATTGCAACAGTATGCAAATGCTGTGTAGATAATTCACTGCACTGCCATGCCAGGTAGTCAGTCGCTCTGTCGCTTCTCTGTTGCTTGCTGTGGAGGGTGCTTGAAAAGGGTGTATGTTGGTGTTAAAGATTTGGTGCTGGATTCAGCTGCATCATTTACCTCCATGAAGATGTTAAACATTTAGTATGTTTCTTAAAATGATTACTGTTTTTTATGGTATGGAAAAGCAAACATTTTGCAGTCAGCTGATATCAGTAATTTTAAATGTTTTGTTCTAGTAAATGTCAAAACACACATTTAAAGGTGCCACGGTATGTATGGTAGAAAACCCTGCCTAATATCTCTGTGTCAGGCATTGTTAGTACAGGGTGGCTGCAGAGGTGGAAGTAAAAGGAGAGCGGAGAACAGGTGGAAGCAGCAGAGTAGAAAAAGAAGGTACAGTAGAAGACAGCGAAGCAGTGATGGCGGAGGTAGGCTAATGAAACAAGCTTCACAGATGAAGGATGACATGGCAGAGGAGAGAGGAGTGAGACTTCAAAGGACTTTGATGTCACAGACTTTCAGACATGCAACTCTGCTTTAGCCAGAGCATCCATGCTCGCAAGGTAACCCACATGCGCACAAGCACATGCACAACACTGATGGTGGAAGGGCAGGACAGAGTGGCGTTGCCTACTCATACATCACGCTCTGTGAATGAAGGTGGGTGCTAATGTAGCAGTAAACACAAACACCGACAGGTTAATTTACCTCGAGACAAACACAGTCTCAGAAGCGCACATCATCAAATAACACAACCACTCACACGCACTTGTACACAGATGAACGTAAGTGAAAACATTTCATCGAATCACATGCTGCTTTAATTTCTTCTAAAAGTAAACCTTTTTTCCTGAGGAGGTAGAGTGGGTCCTCTCCTAACCGGAAGGTTGGGAGTTTGAGTCTTGGCTTGTCCAGTCCACGTGTTGAAGTGTCCTTGAGCAACACAATGAACCCCCCAGTTGCTCTCGGTGATGTCACCGGTGTGTGAATGGGCAAATAGCGTGAAAGTGCTTTGAGTGTGCTGCAATGCATAGAAAAGCGCTATGCAAGTATAAGAGCATTTACCACTACCAGTTACCAGCTTTATGAGAGTGAATGTTGAAGTACAGTAATTTTCTTTCTGTGATAATATTCTTATTTAGTAAAATTCCAACACATCTATGGAAACTAACAGGATAGTCTCTGAAGACACCTCATCTGTCCTTTACTTCTTGTCACTAATGTTTTGGAGTCACAGAGAACAGTTTGACACTCCATTAAGAGATGAGGTTCCATTCTCTGTAGACTATGTATTTGCTTGTTGTGAGATATTCTTTTTTTTTACATTTACATTTGTATGCTAATGAAGCTAAAGGTTTGTGTGTGTGTGAATGCCATGTTTGCATCCAGTATAGTGCTATGTTACAGTAAATACAGCATTGCAGCTGCGTTGTGACTTAGGGATACAGGTGTTTCTAGTCTTCAAGGCTCTATGTGTAGCGTGCAGTGTGCTGTTGATTTCTGTCGTGTACCACACAGTTTGATAGGAAATCAAAGTCTAGAATCAATGTCACAAGTTTATTAACAGATGCCCTTTTCTCTTCCCTGTACTTCTATTATTGTTCTTTCCAGCCCTGGATAAGCGCTTACATCTGTGGTTAATTAAACAAGTCTTCTCGTTGCATACTGTATGTGTGTTCCTGCAAGTGTGTGTGTATCACTGTGTGCATGCAGAGGAGAGGAAAAACCTACTGTATGCAGGTTTATTTATTTGTGATTTTAGGTGCAAAACGGTCTCTGGGTTTGCATGTTTTGTATGTGTATGTATATATTTTGTCTCTGTTGCTTTGACCGTGCCCTAGTGTCTTGCTGCTGTGCCTCTGCTGGCCTGTAGGTGTGCCATAGATTCAATGTTGGGTTACAAATTAAGATTTAAACATTATGTCACCAACCCTTTTGAGTTTTACATTTAGGGAAGTTGCAATATGCAAGACTTACTGTTCTGTTGAGGTGTGGCTCATTATAGGAATCACTTCAGGTCATTACAACTTTTTAGTTACATTTTTTTTTTTTTTTGTCTGGCCCTAGGGTGCAAGTTTTGATACTGTAATGTTACATTTCTGACAGCTCTACTTATGCTTCAGCGTCAGTGGTTGGACACCTTAAATGTTTCTTAATTGCACATAGTTTGTCGACACTGTCCAAGCTCATATGTTTTCCCTCAGTCTTTCTGGTTATGGATCTAACATTAGAGTGTCTCCTTTGTGTTTCAGGAAAATAGTTCCTCTGAAGATCACGTGCTGTATGTGTGGGATCACTTTGTGTCCAAAGCCGCAGCCAAGAATGTCTTCATCATGGCTCATAGCTATGGAGGGCTGTCTTTCGTTGAGCTGGTGAGTGTTTTAGTTTTCCGCTTATCCTTCCTACCTCCCACTGGCATAAAGACACCCTGAGACACACAATACACTCCTGTCAGCACGATCACTCACATGCATGTTCTTGTTTGAAAATCTAAATTTTCCACTCATACTCATGTTTGCAGTACTACAATACATACAAGACCCATAAAACATATTACTCTGCAAAAAAAAAAAAAAGAAAAACTTCTCAAACTTGCGCACACATATTTACAAAGATGCTGAACCAGTCACCTCGGGGAGACAATCAGCGGAGTGATAGTGTGTGAAACATGATGGAACAATTAAAAATAAATTCCATTTAGTTTCTTTGTAAAAGTACTGCTTCTGTAAATAGCCTGGTTCATCCTTGTCCTTGGGCACTATCCACCTCCTCTGCACATCAAGAACAAGGAAAAAGAGAGGGCAATAGTGTATGACAACAGTGGTACTGTCAGACCAGATCTGCTGCAGAGCAAACAGCTCTACCAGCTTTAAGATGGACAGACGGTAGGTTGAAATATGGTAGGAGGGAAGTGCATTTGAAAGAGTAAATGGTGCACTAGGGAAGGTGAAAGTAAAAGTTTGTCCTACCTTTTAGCTTTATAACCCCACCCTTTAGCTAAATGGGTCTACAGTGTGTCTTTTGCAGCTTATGTGAAGGGTTCTGAGGTTAATACCTCATTTTCTAGTCTTTGGTTTATTGTGATGTCCTAGTGGGACTCTACATCACACACTGATCCTCACTTTCTCTTCTGTTAGTGTTTTAATCACTGGAGTTACCTAATAATAAAGCTTGTGGACAGAAAGCCAATAGCAACACAGTGAATTCTCCTTACTGGGTCAGAATAGCATTTAGGAGCCATATTTAATGGTGGGGAAATGTGTGTTTGTACCTTTCTAACTTACTTGCTGCTTGATTTATCATCCAGTCTAATGTGTATACAAGTGACATATAGAACAACGAAAAGCCGTGTATCTGTAGTCATTAAGCTTCAGAAGGGGTAAACCCTCCCTCTGGATTTTCGTACCATTGTATTTAATTCTAATTCTTCAAGTATGATACAGTACCTGTATGTAGAACACACTATGTTGTAAAGATTCAGCTTGCAGGGATGTGACAGTTAGGGTGCAGACAGTGTTTACAGATCATATAAAGGTACTTTGTGTTTTACCTTTTACTTTTTGTGCACAGTTTTTAACTTCATAAATTTTCTGACAACTTTCATTTGCTGTGCCACTGAAATACAATATCCCCATTTGAAAAATTGACCTCATTTTCCTACAAACAGATGCTATGGTTTTGGAAAAAAAATGCTGACTATGAAGTTAGACTATATAAAAATAATTGTGCATCTCCTGGTAATCTCATCTTACAATAAAACATCTGTCTGCATCATATTAAACAAAATAAATAAAATAAAGATTTTAGTGATGGTTTGTTCTCTTCTGACCTGAAACTTTGTGTATCTTTAATCCCCAGCACTCCCTTGTATACCGCTAACTTGGCTCGGCGCCAGGCTTATTGCTAACATGAGCTGTTTTCTCATGTGACCTGGAGTTGCCCTTTCACACATGTAGCACACGCCAGTATATAGTCTGTGTCAGACTTGTTCTCACTTACTGGAAATACTCTGTTTAGTCCATAGAAGTAGTGGCGCCTGAATAAAGTGTGCAGGGTGCAGGACATGATGCAAAATGTCCGCAGTCATATAGTTGGTTTGTAGTTTGGTCATTAACACTTGAGTTGGCCCTTAATGACAGAAACTCCAGGATCTTGTTGTCTCTCCAGTTTTTTGTTGGCATCTTTGAGTAAATAACCCTTTTCCTCACCCTTGGATGTTTGTATTTTTTTTGCTTCATCACTCACATGAAGAAACATCATCAGTTCTCTGGCTAATAATGTGCTCAATTCACACATGGACTCAATCAAACATTACTTTGTACTAGGGAGCTGGCAGGGTAAAGTCTGTTTAATATCCAGACCAAGTGATTCTGGCATTTGTGTTTTCACATACAGCTCCTCTGGGTGATAAGTTTGGGGTTGCAGTACATGCCTGAGATGGTCAGTGCTGTGCTAGATGCATTTAAAGTACAATTACTGCAAAGGATGACACTGTTTTCAACTCTGCTAGTTATCTGTGATCTGAGAGCTGGGTCACACTACCAATCAGCTGGTTTCTTGGAATGAAGGATTTACTGCTAGACTCACCACATCCTACATTATTTTGGACATATCTCTGCTTTTTTCATAAGACGGGGAGAAGGACAGAGGAGGCAGAATGAAAATCTGCCTAGTTGGGGGATAAAAGGTGGCTACTTGTCCCACTGGTGTTTTCAGGAATATTTTATTTTCTTTCATTTTCTTTCACCTACTCTTTTTTGTTTAGTATTTTGTAATTTTAATTTGGCTGCTAAATATTCATGCAGTGTTTTGTCCATGACAGTCTCACAATCTCTTGGGCTTTCTTAGTGTGACGAAGATTAGCTATTCTCCCTATTTGTATCTTTCTGTCTCTCTGTGTTTCCTTCAGTCAGATTCTCTGTGTGTGTGTAAAGGCCTCAACAAGGTTTGACTGCTTTCTTTTACTGTATATGATGTCCTTGTCATGTGAAAACACCCATTCAACGGGTGTGCTTATATACTATATAAATACATAGCATATGGCAGATGCAGTATTGAACATATAATTCCAAAACAGAGACTTGGATGATCCTTGTGGTGACTCGAGGTTGTCCCAGTTTCTGATGTCTATCAGTGTCCTGGCACCAGCGCAAACACATAAGCACGTTCATAGTTTTTGTTAGTTACTCTCAGTCACTCACCTCTACCTGTCAGTAACTTTGACAAGTTTATCGAGGTGTCCAGGTCAGTCATGTTGAGCAGAGTCTGAAATATAGCTTCTGTTTCAGAGCATTGTTCATATAGAATCTCCCCTCTCACAGACATGCACTTAGCAGCAGCAACATATAAATATACATTTGGGATTTTAAGTAGCCACTGTAAATATATATATATACTGTATATGTTGTTTTTTTTACTTGATATTGCTGTTTTTGCACTCAAGACATAAACATGGGCACACTCGTGCATATGCAAGCATACACACATACATATACACATTCAGCATCTACTTAATTGAGGAGAAAGTGGTCCAGCGGGACGGGATGGGGGGTGTGTGCACATGAGCAGGCAAGTGGAGAGTGGAGCCTTGCAGGATGAACCATTTGACACATGAGAAGACCCAGAGAAAACAAGCTGTCTGTGGGTTAATTACTACTCCCCTTTGCAGTTAATAAATACATTTCTGATCAAGCACATCAAAAAGGCCCGCCATTAATTTCTCCTGCCCACTCCCCTTATTCCGGAGCATGTTAGCCCCTGTTTGGAGCACTCGAGTGTTTCATTGCAATTTGATTTCTTCTAAAACACTTCACAGTGTGTACAGACTAATTATAGATACATCAAAGAGTAGCTAACTGCCTTTGAATGAGAAAGTGAGACAGAAAGAGAGACTTGCAGAGCAAAGGCTGCTTACTCTTCACCCCCAACTCTTTCACCCTTTTCCCCTCTCGATCATAAAATCCATCCATCCATGTCAGTTTTGGGAGTTCTCTCTTTCTCTCAGCCTCTTCCTAAGAGTCTCTACTCTTCTCTGGCGTCTGCTTTGGCCCATCTGTTCTTCCCCGTTCCTCCTTCTCTGTCTTTGTCAGCTGTGTAGTTTCACAGAAAGATGGAGCTTTCCCCCCAATCTTACTACTTAGTTTTGAACCCATTTATTCCTATATTCGCTTCAAAATCTAAGAGGCTTTGGCTCAGCTGTGGACTGCATTTCTGTGGCTGTCTCTCCAGGTTATACACACAGCACACATACTGTAAACTGGCCATACTTAATTGTTTTTCAGGTCCGTATCATGCTTTCTTCACCTGGGAACAAAATCTCAACTGAGAACGTACCAGGGCGAGGGAAAGCGATAGTGCGGATAGAGCCATACGGAGTGAGGGCCTTCATCTCTCCCCCCACTCATACTGTCTTTTCCTCTTTCTTCATTGCCAGGAGTCCAGTGGGTGGGTGGGGTAATAAGTGTAAGTGGTGGTAGTGGTTGTGTTGAGGAAGGGCTGTCTAATCTACACTAACCTTGCCACTCACAGAGTGAAAAGGGAGCACTCTTATTGGATAGGACAGGGCAGCATTATATAAGGTCTTATGTAAGAATGCATCTGTCTCCCAGTACACGAATGTGTGGGTGCCAACCAGACAAGCAGCCAGCCGCCATAACAGTCTTTCAAAAACATGAATACAGATTTTAAGGGAACATGCCACATACTGTACATATAGTACATGCTTGTAAAATATCTGTCTGTACGCTTTCTGTATAGTGCCATCTGTTTCAAACTATGATGAATATAGCCAGCTTTCTCTCTGTTGTCCACGGTTTCATGTATATATGGATTCTGGCTAGGTGTCAGATGTGGGAAGAAATGCTTACGGTGAGATCAGTGAGGGGATTGCTTCTGTCCTTTTGGACTTCATCACTGTACCACTGTATGGAGGATGTATGGAGAGATATGAAACATTGCTGGTTGAATCAGACTGAGTTGGAGAAGCTGGTTTTACATATTGTTCAGAGTTTAGGAAGGGATTGAATTTCCCTGCTGTGGCATCCCCAGATTAAGTTAGAGGTTTTTATCTTGTATGGTACGGGAAGATGCTTCATGAACAATATGTTTATTTCAGCTGCACTGTGTGTAGTGGGCGCCTAATAGGATTCACAAGTTGAAGTACAAGTAAGGAAAAGTAGTTGTACTTATATTTTCTGTCCTCTTAAGATTTCCTAGTCATTGACCACAGAGAACATTCCAAACAAAGTCATTGCAATATCTGTGTGCAGTACAGCTGTTTTATATTTTACTTTCTTTGCATAGTCAGTCTTTAGGTTTGGGGTAGATAGTGCTATTAAAAAGAGAAACAAGGTAAACAGCAGCTCAATAAGGA